CATTTTCCTCTTTCTCCGCTTCATTTCCTTATTCTAATCTCAAACCCGGAGAGAAGAGAAATTCTATTTTCCAATTTTCCTTCAGTTTTTTTACTTTTCCCCTGGATTCCATTACAGAATTGGCTACATAACTATGATATATAGAAAGGCTTCTCTAGGGTAAGGCAAGTGAAGCCCTTGCCTTAGGCCCCAAAATAATTGAGGCCCCAAAAATAAGAAGTACTACTATATTATTTTATTATATAATATATATTCCATAAGTTATATTTATATAATTATTAATAAAAAATTTCAAATTTTAATAATTTTTAACATTTGGCCGACATAAGATTGAGTGAGTTAAATGGAAATTTTTCTTACTAAATTAAATAATATATTTACCTTCTCATCAATTTTATTTTTTTTTTATGTGTGGTCTTTTTTCATGGTTCTTACGACTTTACTTTCTAATTTCAACTCAAATTCTCTAAATTAACTATTTCTTTTTGTCACATTTGATTGATCCACACACCAGAAAGCAAGTTCTTTTGTGTCTCATCTTTTTTAACTATCCTCGAGGCAAATGTCGCAAGGTTCAAAATAGTTAAAATATCATGGTATAGCCAGTTTTCACACTGGTCAATGAAAAATAGCCAGCGTTTATCAAGTCAATGAAAAATAGCCACTATTTTGCTGCAACAGGGACCGGTCTAGTATAATATACGGGAGTTCTGGTGCATTTGTGTACGAACTCCAGCATATTATGCTGAACCGGTATACTTTGCTAACTCCTGTAAAATTTGCGCGAGACTAGAGCACCAGTGCTCCAAACTCCAGTATATTATACTGGACAATTATACTTGCTGGAACTCCCGTAAAATTTGCGGGAGTTCCAGCATAATTATGCTTGAACTCTCGTAAAATTTACGGGAGTTCCAGCATACTTATGCTGGAACTCCCGTAAAATTTGCGGGCGTATTTTTCCGGATTTTGAACAGTGTTTTTGCTCAGATTTAAAGTGGCTAAATTTCGATGACTTTTGAAACTTGGCTATTTTTCAACGACCAGTGGTAAATCTGGCTATTTTTGAATTTCTATGATGAATAATGGGCTCACCCTTTACCATTTTCACTTAAGGGAAGAATTCAATACCATATGACGCACGCCTAACTCATACATCATGAGTTGCGATCTCACCACTATATCAAAGTCATGTAGTTTTTTTTTTTGTCTCAATATTATATGAATTTTATAAAAGACGTTTCAGGGTCTTCTTAATATATTTTGGTTTAGGCCACCAGTTCTGTTGAGCCGTCCCTCATTGATAATCAACAATTATTTACAGACTACTGCCCCACTGTAAACGTACTGTTCAACCAGCTTATTGACATTTGGTAACTAAATGACACACTCATTGCCTTTAATGCTCTTGTCATTGTTGCTTTATATTAAGTGAGGCTCTATAAATTTAATTGAGAATGTCAGGGGTGGATAAGTGGCTAGTAGGAGACTAGTAAAGCCTTGATTTAGGTCCCCCAAATTTTTTAATAATGGATGTTATAATTTTATTTCAAATTAGACAATATTAATGTTTGTAGAAAAAAAAAATTGTAAAAAAAGAAAGAAAGGCGTCTACTCTTAAACAGTAAAAATATTTTTAAAACTTTGAATTAAATTACTTAAATCTTCATATAGTAAATATTTTTTTTACAACAATATCAAAGGTAACATATTGCAAATACATGTCTAACATCTCATTTATTTAAAGTTTTCCTTTCTAATATAGATAATAATATTACTATGTGAAGTTAAAGACTTTATGTCATTTAAGAATATATACTATAAACAACAAGTATGAAAAAAATGGCAAGATTAATTTTTTTTTTTGTATATATGTATGTATATGAACTAATAAAAAAAGTATAAGGCCTTTTATTAAAAATTTTCTTTAGTCCACTAATTTTATGGAGACGCCCTTGAGAAAGGTCCATTATCAATATATAATAAACATTGTACTACTAACACATAATCAAATTCGAATCTGTTTTCATTTTTAATGTTTATGAATTTAATATGTTTGTCGTTTCAACATAAATCGAACAAAAATAAGCATTTCTATCTTAAGAAGTATTCGCCCATATAGAAATTTCAATTTAATTAGGAGGAGAGATTTACTCCAAATGATATCAAGTCTACTTTATTTTTCTACCGTTGATTATACCACACAAGCCACAAATTTTCAGCAACCATAATAAGCACACTCATAGACACTCTACTAACTACAGTACATACTACCTACTTATATTGATATAGGATAAGGAATTAAAAAATTGATTCCAACTCTCAAGATTGGCAAGATGTGGAAGAACAACGTTGCCATTCATGTCAAAATAATGGATGTCTTTGTTATGATCAATATCGGCCTCCTCAAGCTGATCGAAAGGGTAGGGTTCGTGTGATGACCATGCCGTCCATGAATAGTGAAGGCATATGGCAAATAACCTAGAATCGCCTATGTATCTCCTATACAACATGGCATCAAATTCTAACTCATGATCATCCATCATATCCCCGATTACCAGCCCAATAGTTGCCCCTTCGTCTTCTTCAGTTACTGTTATCCTATTTAGCGTTGCAAGAATTAAATCCATGATGTTTCCAATGAATTTAAGACTTGACCATCCTCTGAGAGGTACACCATCCGGTCGCCCATCCACGACCATGAGACACGTCCTCCCCAATTATCAAGTGCATATACCCCGTCAGGATGGCTCATCTTCAGTTGTGTTGTTAAAGATGTGAAGACGAAGCACCCAACAAGACCAATGACGAGGCTAATGTATATAGGATTTTCTGCTCGTACTCTGTCAAATTCTAATATAGTTTATGATATCGCCCCACGGAGATTGGACAATCTAAGCTACAGACTTGTAATATTTTGACTACTATTTGAGAGAACCAAATTGATGAAAGGTGTGTTTGGAATTATAAATTAAGACAAATTTCTTCCGAAAAGTTTTGTATTTAAAAAGAGTTGGGAATCGTTGAATTCACTTGATATATTCATTACAATAAAATCTCAGTTTTATATACGTATTTCTCTAAAGAATAATTGCTTATTGCTAATACAATTATATTTTTACACTAAGAAATAAATAAATAATTAACACTCCGTGAGGTTATGTCAATTAATTGATTTAAAACTAGTGACGATTAAACTGAAATATCTTGCCTGAATTGTGCTCAAGCGTAGTAAAAACTTCGAGAGAATATTTTTACTAGAAAATCAATAATCTTGCCTTCAACAATTCCTCCGTGAGAATTAAAATCGAGGAAAGCAAGATTACAGACTTGAAATAATAGTCTTACTGAAAATTACTTTCACTCTAATATTCTGTGCTCAAGCGTAGTAAAAACTTCATGAGAATATTTTTACTAGAAAATCAATAATCTTGCCTTCAACAATTCCTCCATGAGAATTAAAACTGAGGTAAGCAAGATTATAGACTTGAAATAATAATCTTACCATATTTTCACTCTAATATTCTATTCATCAATTATTATATATTAATTTTGCTCCGTGAGAATTACAAAACTAATATAAGAATAACTTAGATATAAAATACGGAAAAGGGTCTGATATATCCTTGTACTATGGTAAATTGTTTAAAATTGTCCCCCGTTATACTATTGGGCCATAAAAGTCCCTACCGTCCAACTATCCTAACAAATCTGCCCTTACTTTGACGGAAGTGCCACGTGGCATCCATCCTTGCCTCTTTTTAAATCTGGGCACATAAGAGACGACCCGCTCCAACTATACCCACCAACCCATAACCCGTGACCCGTCATTTATAAACCAAATAATACCCATTTCGTCCATTTCATTTTCCCGTTTCATTTTCTTCTCTCACTAACTATGAACATGAAAATACTTTCACAGCCTTGCTGATAGCCGATTTGAAGTGAAGAAATTCCATAAAGGTAATACCTTCCTCCATGAAAATGATTCGTCTTTGCTATATTATTCATGTTAGTATTGCAATTTTTCAGTTTTGTTTTCGTATTTTAGGGTTTTTGTGCTAGGGTTTCGATTTCTTAGATTTCATCTACATCTGACTAAAGTTTATGAAATTTCATTGATATATCCTTATTTCTTGTCTGTTTCTAGTGTTTGCATGCATGGTTTACGCCTTTGTTCTTTATTTATTGCTGGGGTTTTGTGGGATTTTGTGGGGTTATGTGGGGTTTGTTTCTTTGTCCTTTTCCATAAAGTATATTTATGTTTTCTGAAGATTCTGAACTTTTCCTTTGTTTATTAACAACGATGGTCCCCAATTGTGTGTCCATTTGATTAAAGTATTCGGGTATGTTGGATTCTTCCTTGGGGGGGGGGGGGACCTCTTGTCATAAAAAATTGTTTCTTTTTGGCATTAATTAATCATTCTCACTACTGACTTATACATTAATTATTTTTTTCTGTTGTATTTTATAGGTTGTTGGAGATGGTGCTAGTTGATTTAATATTCAATTACGATGTTGATTGGGTTATTGAGCCTAAAGTTGTCTACACAGGAAAATTGGTGAAGACTTGGACAGGTTATGACTCCGACTTACTTTTATACATAGACATAGTCAATGAATTCACAAATGAGCTAGGATTTTTAGGGGTTCAACAACTTATAGTTGCTGGCCCATCTGGTAAATTTTATGTGATTGAGGGGGATGATGGTATTAGACATTTACAAAGGTTATTATGCAATGAATTCAATGTAGTGAACTTATATGGTGTAGATGAATGTGAGCCCCCTATTTACTCTATTCCCAATATTGAACAATATGAAGAAGAATCTAATAAAATTGTGGATGATGTTGGTACTGATTGTAGCTTAAGTGATGTAGGATCTGAATCTAGTACTGATTCTGAAGGATACAATTCTGAAGAATTAGAAGCACTTAAAGCACAAAAGAAAAGGGAAATAGATGAAAAACTTAGTGACTTCAAAGAGTTATAAAAAGGTATGTCCTTTAAGGACATACCAGAAGCTAGGAAGTGTATGAAGTTATATTCTCTGGCTAACAAGAAAAGATTGAAATTGGAGAAGAATGACCTAGAAAGACTTAGGTATACTTGTGATATTGTTGGTTGTCCCTTTGTGTGCTTAATAGCAAAAGAAAAGTTTGGTGGGGTTAAAATCAAGACTTTATCTTCTGAACATGATTGTGGCACTGCATTTGATAACAAGACTGTTGATTTTAGTACCATTGCACAATATTTCAATAAGAAGTTACAAGATAATCCTAAGTACAAGGTTAGGGAGATGATGTTAGATTTGAAGAGAAACTTTGAGCTAAATGTTAGTCATGGGAAGTGCAAGAGGGCAAAGAGGATGGTATTGGAGTCACTAGATGGTAGTTTTTCAGATGAGTACAATAAACTAGAGGCTTATGCCAATGAATTGAGGGAAAGTAACCCTGGTAGTGATGTGGTTGTTACACTTTCAAAGAGTGCACTTGAAGAAGGAAGAAGAAGGTTCTTGAGAATGTATGTGTGCTTTCATGCTTTGAAGATGGGTTTCAATCTAGGATTGAGACCTTTTATTGGTTTGGATGGTACCTTTTTGAAGGGCAAAGCCAAAGGCCAGCTGTTAGTAGCAGTTGGACAGGATTCACATAATCATTTTTACCCTTTGGCATGGGCAGTTGTTGATAAGGAGAACAAAAATACTTGGAATTGGTTCCTACAGCTTCTGCAATCTTCTTTGGACCTCAAGGAAGGGGAAGGAATCACCTGCATGTCAGATATGCAAAAGGTGAAGTTTTCTGAAATTTCTAATCTGTTATTCAATCTTCAATTTCTGAAATCATTTGTTTGTTTGAAATTTCTAATCTGAAATTTCTGAAATCATTTGTTTGTTCTGCAGGGACTGCTTGATGCAGTCAAAACAGTCCTTCCTCAGGCACACCACAGGTACTGTGTTAAGACATATTGAGTCTAACTGGTGCAAACAGTTCAACACTAGGGAAAACAAGAAGCTTTTATGGTGGTGTGCATGGTGCACATATGCAGAAGATTTCAAGGATCAGCTAGGAAAATTAGGTGACTTGAACAAAGATGCTGCAGAGGCTTTGTTGAGGTACCCACCCCAGTCCTAGTGCAGAGCATATATGGACACTGTATGCAAGAATCAGTCGGTTGATAATAACTTGACTGAATCATTCAACAAGTGGATTGTGGATGCAAGGCATAAGCCTATAATCAAGATGCTAGAGGACATCAGAATCAAGACCATGAACTTGTTAAGAACATGAAGAAGAAGTTAGGAGCTGGAGATATGATTTCAGTCCAAAATGCATGGACTTGTATAATGAGTACCTGCAGATTGCACAAACTGCCTGTGAAGTAAATGCAAATGGTCAAAATGGCTATGAAGTAACAGAAGGATCTGATAAGCATTGTGTTAATTTGGTTGTGAAGAAGTGCACTTGCAGGTCATGGGACCTTACAGGAATCCCATGTCCACATGCTATTAGAGCTATACTTCATGACTCTGGTGATCCAATGACTGAAATCAACTGGTGGTATAGCAAGGAGGCATTTCTGCTGACTTATAGGCACAAAATACAGCCTGTCAGGGGAGAAAGGTTTTGGAAGATTGAACCATCTCAAGCAATGGAACGTCTAGAGCTTGTGAAATTGGCTGGTAGACCTAAGGTTAAGAGAGATAGGCAGAAGGATGAGGCAATTAAAAGACAAGGAGTTTGGTCACAGTCAAGAAAAGGAAGAATCATGACTTGTAGCAAATGTGGAGAAACAACTCATAATGCAAGGACTTGTGGTCAGGTAAATATTTTACATTAACTTCAAAGTATTACATACTAGACATGAATATTTCTAACTTGTCTTTTTTAACTATTTTAATCAAGGGAAAGAAGCAAAGTAAGAGAGGAAGAGTTGAGCAGGCTGTTGCCACACCTGAGCAGGCTACTGCAACAACTGAGCAGGATTCCACCAGTTCAGCACCTGCTGCAAAAAAATCAAAAGGAAGGCAGCAAAGAAAGAGGCCAAGTTGTTTGATAGAACATGAAGCTGAACCTCAAGTTGAAAATGATATCAACTGTTCAACACCTCAGGACACTCAACCAAGTCAGGACAGTGGGCTTAGGTTCATGCCTACACCTGTAAGAATGCTTAGGTCAAGGGCTAGACATGAAGAAGATGCTGTGCTTAGGCCAAGGGTTATATCAGAAGTAACTACAAGGCTAAGGATGAGACAACAGGTACAAATACCAGCTGGAACAAGGTCAATCAACTTCACAGGTGATCATAGTGGTGTTAGTGTACCAACAGATCTGCCATATTCAGCCCCAACATTACAATGGAAGGGGAAGGCTGCTGTAACTGCAAATCAGTTGGAAAAACAAGGGCAAGAAAGAATTGGGAAGCTGAAATCAAGGAGAAAAAAATGAAGAAAAAAGTATAATTTTTTTGTTGTGTGGGATGTATTCACTGCAAACTTATAGACAGTGGTGTCCCTTTTAGTATTCTGTAATTTCAGTTTTTGGGTCTTGTTTTGGTGATGTAACTACTGGAGTTACTGTCTTCTTTGGTGATGTAATTACAGTTATTTGGTGCTAGTTTTGGTGCTGTTTAGTGATGTAATTATAGAATTATTAGGTGCTACTTTTGGGTACTGTTTTAGTGATGTAACTACTAGAATTACTGTATTTTTGGTGATGTAATACAGGTTTCTTGGTGCTATTTTTGCTGCTGTTCCAGAAAACTACTGTGTTGTAAGCATTTGTGTTTGAAAAATAGTGTTGACTTGTTGTCCTACATCACTTAAGCTTGTATATATGATATTAAATCCAGAAGTGACACTATTTGTTTCTTATCCAAAGCTCCAGGTGCATAGATTAGTCCCATATGATCATCACCAAAGTTTATGTTTTTGATGATCTATGTTTTCAAACTAAGTTCTAGTACTTAAAAAGGACCATATGCCATAAAACAATTCAAACTAATTTCAAACAATTGACAAGTCAATAGATAGAACATCAAAACACTAGCACTTGGAAAAAACACTAGCACTTGGAACATCAAAACATACATTAACAATATATGTAATTGTTTTACAATGGCAAAAAAAAATTCTAATACTTAGGAACATACATTAACAAGTGAAATATGGACCATAGGCCATCTTCAACAAACACAATTTATTTCATCCACATTGCCGCAACAAAACCAACAATAAGTGCAACTGAAATCCAAATAAACATCTTCATCTTAACCACTTTATCTTCGATTTCCCTTACTTTGTTTACTTCAACATTTTTTGAAACCTCCAAATCTTCAACTTTTTCCAACAGCTTGTCTCTTTCTATCGTGCACGACTCCAATAATTGCTTCAACATATTGATTGTAACATTAGCAGCATCCAATTTATACTGCAACTTATTGATTTCTACCAAAGCTCGGTCCGGAAAATGTTCGTCTTGCCATTCCCAATATCCACACGACTCATTCTAACGAAAATGAACAATAATTAGGTTAGAAGGAATAAAAATTTCAGTTTTGTACAAACAATTAACAAACTTACTTCAGGTTTTGCACATTTATAGAATCTTCTTCCGGGATTTTGAGGTGTGGTCGATCGGAAGTGGTTGGCAATCTCTCCACAATGGCACCTCCTCTTTGGTGTAGCACTAGACTCCGACATTTATGATGAAATTTGTTGAAATGGGTTGTCTTGATGGAGCTAATATCATAGAGGGTTTGATGGAGATGGCAGTAGGATTATAAATTAGGGTTGGGGTTTAATTTGGGTTATAAATCGTTGGTCAGTGGCTTTGGGGTATTATTTGGTTTATAAATGGGTTATGGGTTGGTGGGTATAGTTGGAGCGGGTCGTCTCTTATGTGACCAGATTTAAAAAGAGGCAAGGATGGATGCCACGTGGCACTTCCGTCAAAGTAAGGGCAGATTTGTAAGGATAGTTGGACGGTAGGGACTTTTATGGCCCAATAGTATAACGGGGGACAATTTTAAACAATTTACCATAGTACAAGGATATATCAGACCCTTTTCCGTATAAAATATGTAGATGTGATAATAATGATTAAAAAATTCATCATTCCAGCACAGTATGAAATGTAAATAGAGTTTCAGGCCAAAGAATGTATTGAAACTGAGATAGTATTATAATTATATCAAGCTTCATCAACTATCCCAACAAAAAGAAATTACTCCATTATGAAGTAAGAAAAGCTAAAAAATACTTTCAAAAAAACTAAGAATATTTTTACTACAAAGAGAGACTAGAGAAAGAGACCAAGATTACTCTTCTCTTTCTCTTTAGAAACTTAAAAAAACTAGATAGGAAATTGGATACAAAGTGGGATGATCTTTCTTCTACAAATATATGGCTATTTATAGGAAAATTCCTACAAGGCCTTGGTGAGAAATTGCAATATAATATCAATATATCATATGGTCTTCATGAGAAATTGATATGGCAATTTGTCTTGAAATTTTGGTGAGAATTTGCCATAACTTTTGTATCTCTTGACTTTGTGTAGTCTTAGATGAAATTGTCACGAATGCATCCTTCTTTCTTGAACTGTAGGTTCTTTCTTTTTCTCTTTTTCCATCTATTCCTTTTCCTGGGAGAATTGTTAGAAAAGTGCGAGAATAGGATATAATTTGGTCATGTTTTATATCTAAAATATTATATTTTTATATTAAAATATATGAATAATTTATATCCATCAATCAACTGTGGCCACAAGTGTATCTTGATTTTCAATCCGTCGATACACATGTACTTGTAAGCCCAACACCCTCTGCTCCACCTAACTCATTCCCCAATCCCCCTTCTCCATTTTCTTCCTCCATTACTCCCACTTGAATTATGAAACTTTAGACACACAAGGCATACATTATTCATAGAATTGTACAATATTTATAGGAGAACACGTACAATCAAAGCATGCTAATCAATCCCTAATTATTAGGAGATCCTTCAATTAGAGGGATTACATCTAAACTAGTTTTCTAGAATATATTCTAGCAAATTTTTGTAAATTTGCCAAATCTACTGTACCATATTTATAGAAGCAAATTATAGCCAAATCTGCCAGCTCATTCAAGGAGCAGATTATGATCAATCTGCCAGATTCAACACTCCCCCTCAAGTTGGCATGTAAAGATCGAACATTCCTAACTTGCTGACAAAAAATTCAAAAGTAGTTCTAAAAAGACCTTTTGTGAAAATGTCCGCAACTTGTTCAGTTGTTGGAACAAAAGGATTGCACACGATTCCATCTTCAATCTTTTCTTTAATAAAGTGTCTGTCCACTTAGACATGCTTTGTTATGTCATGTTGAACTGGATTATGGGAAATGCTTATGGGAGCCTTATTGTCACAGTACAACTTCATCGACAAACTCATAGGTCTTGTTAGTTATTCGAAAAGTCTCTTGAGCCACAACATTTCGCAAATTCCGCATGCCATGGATCGATACTCAGCCTCGGCACTACTTCGAGCCACCACATTTTGCTTCTTACTTCTCCATGTTACCAAATTTTCCCAAACAAATATACAATATCCAGATGTAGACCTTCTATCAGTAGATGACCAAGCCCAGTCCACATCAGTATAAGCCTCAACACTTCTTTGCTCATTCTTCTGGAAGAACAACCTTTCCCAGGAGAGCTCTTTAGATACCTTAGGATTTGATACAAGGCTTATTGATGTTCTTCCTGTGGAGAATGCATAAACTGACTGACTAGGCTCACAACAAAGGCAACTAGTATGAGACAAGTAAATCAACTTGCCTACCAATCTCTGATATTGGCCCTTATCAATTAATTTCCCTTCCTTATTTCCAAACTTTAGATTTTGGTCAATTGGAGTTTCAGCTGGTCTACAACCACTCATTCATGTTTCTTGTAACAAATCAAGTACATACTTTCGTTGTGGCACTATAATTCCTTTCCTCGATCATGCAACCTCCATGCCGAGAAAGTACTTCAGCGGGCCTAAATCTTTTATCTCAAATTCTGAGGCAATGCGCTCCTTCAGATTCTTTATTTCAACCATGTCATCTCCTGTGAGGATGATTTGGTTTTCGTATCATGGATCTTGGGTCGC